AGAAAGAACTCGTTCAAAATCATCCTGCTCACGTGTGTGGTAATCACCCAGCTTCACCACGTACCGGGACGCGTCACTGCCAAACCTGCAGAATAAAACACTCATTCATATCACAACATTTCAATCGATGAAAACACTCATTCATAAAAGACATGAATTTGCTGATTATACCACAGTGTGACTTTGGTGTTAATTTAGTTGTTTCAATGTAGAGACTTCATTTAGTCATTATAAAACTGTGCATAACTGTTTCATTATAGAGCATTGTGTAAATACAAACGGTACACAAACATGTACTATTATTTCTGCTGAAAACATGAATTTTATGTCTGATATGCCAAAAAAATGTGACCCTAAATAATATGAATTTATTAATATTGACACTGCAAATATTTCAATATGTTTTGGTAAAGTAAATGAAAAAAAAAATCCCATTAATCAGATGAAGAAAAATGCCCATTTACTTGCCCTGAAAATATTTGGTATTTGAACACTAACAGAACAAATAGTGTTTTTTTTTTTTGCTTGTCATAATAAATTTAATTGGATAATTTTTAGGACTAAAAATATGTGTTTCTAAATTGTCCACTTGTTTTTGTGCACTCTCTGATTTGATGAAAAACATGTAATTAAAGATGATTCTGAAGAGGTGTTTGGCCTTGGAGGCTCATTGTGTGTGATATTGTGTTGTTGTCCAGCAGGTGTCTCTCTGACCGTTTGAAGCAGTGCGCCGCAGTGAGCAGCCAGCAGGAGTTGATGAGAGTTGCTCCACACAGAGGCTGGTTCCCTTTAGACTGAGATCTGAGCCACAGAGACGCCTGCCAGGGCCAGTCACCCCTGTCAAAACACATGCAGAAACACAAGAGGTGAGGAGGACACACAGGTGTAAGTGAACGGAAAGTAGAGTGTCAACATTGTGATTAAACAGTAATTATGTATTATGGGTATTATGGGTTTTTTAAAATGACCTTCCATGTCTTCCATATTTTCCAGTGATTGAAAATATCCATCTGAGGATTAAATCTGAATGTGCTCCTTGTTTAAAAATATTGATTTTTTTTTTCTCTGCGTCGACTCAAGAGTCGATTAAATGATTCGTAGTTTGTCCGGATCTTTTGCCTGTTTATATCGGCCTCAACACGAAGCAATACCAAATATGAAGTGCCGGATCCGGTAAAACCTGAAAGTGCCTTTCCCCTCAAACACTAGCAGAGTGCGGGTGCTTGTGGGATGGAATATGACTGAAGATGAGTAAACATTAATGAGTGAATTTTCTGATAATTAATAGAAGGATCAGCAAAGACTATTTGATGAAAATATGTATATGACTTTGTCAGACCTTGACAGGACTTTTTGTCAGTAACACAGTTCATATGCACCAGTTTCTTCTTCCTTCAGACCTCAAGTTGTAAGTAAGATTAAATAGGTTGCCTCTTTGTTTTTTCTAGCTTGCAAAATATGTATTTTATTGTGTTGGGCTTGTACGATATCTGGTTAACTCTTTACATTAACATATCACATCTAAAACCGTGCTGAATGAATGAATGAAAAAGTAACATTTTAATACAATTTTAAGTCTTAGTAATAATATTGTTTCTGTAATGTTTATTTTTTTGTTATGTTTAGCTTTAATTTAACTACTGTAACTTTGACTTAATTGTTTTTATTTTATATATTTATTCATTCATTCATTCATTTTCTTTTCGGCTTCCCTTTATTAATCAGGGGTCGCCACAGCGGAATGATCCGCCAATTTATCCAGCAAATGTTTTATGCAAAAGATGCCCTTCCAGCCGCAACCGATCACTAGGAAACACCCATACACTCTCATACACACATTACACTACGGACAGTTTAGCTTACCCAATTCACCGAAGCACCCAGAGGAAACCCAAGCCAACAAGGGGAGAACATTATTTTATATATATTTAGCTATTTTAATACCTCAGTACTTTTAGTACCGCAGACAATATTTTCAATTTTAAAATAAATTCTCAAAATATAAAAAAAAAATGGAATTGTTTTTTTTTTATATTAATATTTTATATTTTTTAAATTTGATGTTTTAAAAATGTTTGGCCCATTTGAATTATATATATAATATTATAATATTAAAAGTATATATTATTTTCTTATATTATCTTTTATAGTCTGTCTTTATTTATCTTTATATAGTCTGTTTTATACAAGAGTATATATTTGATTTACAGATAAGAGGATACAGGAAGCTCTTAGTAAACAACTATAATTTTTATAACTATATTTGATGACATTATTAATATTTAACTTGCACTAATCCTTGTAGGTTATAAAATAAGTTGTACTTGAGTACATTGTATCTTCATTGTGTCTGACGGTGTACCTGAGAGATTTGTAACCTCCAACAATCCTCTTGCTGCGTCTTTCGGCTCCGGCTCTGAGCCCGCAGGTGTGTGTGCCCACAACTGCAACGTCAGCCTCGGGCTCCGGCTCATAATCACACACCACACCTGCATCCTGACCATGCTTACAAACATGGCTGTCCTGTCCTTTAGAAGGACATTCGCCGAGGAGAGACTCCTTCCCAGTGCATCTCACATTGGACAGATGGATGGTGCCTTTACCTGCTCCAAAATATCCCATCGGACGTGCTTTTGATTCCCCACTGCCAGAGAGAGGAATGAAAATCAACTCAGAACTCATCAGGTTTAACAACAGAACCTATAGGGGACCATTGTACAGCTAAAACCAACAGCAGATATTTGATATGGCAAAAAAATGCATAATGACACTGAATTAATAGTCTTCACAAAGGAATGTCTAGATTATAATTATGATCATAAAGGATTATTTTAGTTATTCAATATGAAGATAATGCAACTAACACAACACTGGCCAATGTAATCAACCCAGCATCATTGATGGCATTTAGAGCCTGTAACAGCAGGTTGACAAACATAACTCACCTGCATTTATCAATTGAAACTGATTAGTGTTCCCTAGCAACACAGAACATTAAAACAAGTGCACAAATAAAGGCTTTATATAGGCTAGGTACAATTGCTAGTACAAAAAAAATGCTGTTGGGGATGTTTTGATCCATTCTGGGGTGATTTTGAGTCTTAATTTGGCCACAACTTTCTCTGTGTGTTTAGAAAATGCAATGATTTCTGGTGACAAATCTTATTTTGACACATATTTTGGGAAAATGCTTTGAAAATGTAAAAAAAACACTACACAAAACATTACACTCTTATTTACTACCCTTTTACTATGTTCATAGTTTTCTTTTTAACTGCAACTGACGTTCAACTGTAAAAATGACACATTTTACCTCTTCCCAACAGGGAAAACCACCAACAATCAAGAATGCATGATTATATGCTGTCACGGCTTTGCAATAAAAAATGTCATTATAATGGAAGTCAATGGGTCAAAAACAGCCACTAATATAAAGGAAATGTGGTAAATCTGAACAGTTCACTTGGGCTCACAACAGGGGGATGCAACACAATTTTAGCTAGTCAATGACTTTTTGAAGTGGTCTTTTGAAAAAGTTATGTACTTTTTTAAGATGCAATTTTATGCTGTGCCTCTTGAAGTTTTCTAGAAATATTCCTACTGATCATAGAATGACTTTAAGCTATTTTGAGGTAAAATGTCTCCTTACTTGAATCCGAGCTGTCTGCAGACGACGGCAGCATTGACATCATTCCAGCCGTGATCACATACGCTGCCCCATTCGCCATTAAGAAACACCTCCACCCGGCCCTCCTTCCTACTGTCACCACCTGCCAGACGAACCAGAGGCCCTGAAACAAACAAAACAACAATAAAAACAGAGAGATGAGTTAGATTCTCTCACGTCATTTAGAGTGTACGGTTAAAGTGAAAATTATATGCCTTTCTGTTGAAATGTTTTTTCTTTTTCAAATGATGTTTAACAATATTTCCTATATTATTTATTCTTCTGGAGAAAGTTTTATTTGCTAGGATAAAAGCAGATTTTAATTGTTTTGATTTTAGGGTCAATATTATTAGCCCCCTTAAGCAATATTTGTTTAAATTCAATTAAGAATTATTTTTCAACGAAACAACATTAGTATTTTTTTAAAACAGTTGCTTAAGAAAACAATATATATATATATATGAGACCAAAAAAATTATATATATATATATTTGTAATTCAGATAGTTTGCACTTAACAACTCAAATGTTTACTAAGGAAAAGTTTTATTTGTCTGACAATTGTACACGTTTAAGAAAAGTCTGTCATTCTGTCTGTCTGTCTGCCTGTCTGCCTGTTTATCTGTCTGTCTATCTGTATCTATCTATATGTCTGTCTGTCTGTATCTATTTATCTGTCTGTCTGTCTGTATTTATGTCTCTATCTGTTTATCTGTCTGTCTTACTGTATCTATTTATCTGTCTGTCTCTATCTGTTTATCTGTCTGTATCTATTTGTCTGTCTGTCTGTTTGTCTGTCTGTCTGTATCTGTCTGTCTGTCTCTATCTGTCTGTCTGTCTGCCTGTCTGTATCTATTTATCTGTCTGTTTGTATCTATCTATATATCTGTCTGTCTGTATCTGTCTATTTATCTGTCCGTCTGTCTGTCTGTCTGTCTGCATCTAATTATCTGTCTGTCTGTCTGTCTGTCTGTCTGTCTGTCTGTCTGTCTCTATCTGTCCGTTTGTCTGTCTGTCTGTCTGTTATTCTGTCTGTCTATCTCTAAATATTTATCTGTCTGTCTACCTCTCTGTCTGTCTGTCCGTCCGTCCGCCTTCTTATCTATCTATCTATCTATCTATCTATCTATCTATCTATCTATCTATCTATCTATCTATCTATCTATCTATCTATCTATCTATCTATCTATCTATCTATCTATCTATCTATCTATCTATCTATCTGTCTGTCTGTCTGTCTGTCTGTCTGTCTGTCTGTCTGTCTGTCTGTCTGTCTGTCTGTCTGTCTGTCTGTCTGTCTGTCTGTCTGTCTGTCTGTCTGTCTCTCAATAACTGTAAAAAAGTGAAAACCTTTAAAAAAAAAACTTGTTAAACTTAAATTATTTTTCAACACCTGCTTAGCAACAAGTGGTTTTTAAACGTTTTTTGGGCTTGACCAATCATTTTCAAAACCATAAAGGAAACTGTTGCATTTCGTGCAACACGCAACAATCTAGATTACAGACACCAGCCAACAGACAGCACACGGAAGCAGCACACATCATAAACTATTAAAGTAAGTAAAAACTACAAAAGTAGCTAACAGCACACTGTAGAAACCTAATACCATCTACCATGTTGTTTTTCTCTACAGATTTAGCAATAAGGATGATGAATTCCTCCTGTGATAACATCTACATGGTGCTCAGCAGCTCAGAGAAGGTGGCCATAGGTACGATCTGTCTGCTGATTGCTCCGCTCAGCCTCATGGTCAATGCTCTCGTCCTGTTTGTGATCGTCTGCTCTAGAAACTTAAGAAGACAGCCGTCGTACCTGTTTATGGGAAGCTTGGCATTGGCTGACACCATTGCTTGCTGCTGTTTCACCATCAACTTCCTCAATTTCCACCTTTTTAATGAGGATTTCTACTTTCAGAGAGCAGAGTTTCTTCTTAAACTTGGTGGCGTGTCCACAGCATTTACGGGATCGGTTGGAAGTCTGCTTGTGATGGCAGTGGATCGCTATCACGCAATATACAAGGCTGGCACTTATAAAGTTCTGCTCACAGTTAAAAAAACATTGGTGTGCATTTTGGCATTATGGATCATGGCTGCTCTCATATCCTTCCTTCCTCTGATGGGATGGAGTTGTGAAGATTCTCCATCATGCTCCAATCTCTTTCCATACGTGGATCGTAGCTACCTAGCATTCTTTGCCAGTCTTGTGTTGGTGGTTCTGTTTCTCATTCTGCTAGCTTACGGTCTAATTGTATGGTGGGCTCATAAACACGAAGCTAACATGTGTGCAGAACATCCAGGACTAGCACGCATTCGTGTGGACGTTCATCTGGCAAAGACGTTCGCCTGTATTATGCTGATTCTGTTGGTGTGCTGGCTGCCTGTGCTTTCGTTTATGATGACAGATGTAGTTACGACAGAGCTTTCAAAACCACAGAAAAGGGCATTTGCTTTTTGCAGCGTATTATGTCTGCTGAATTCAGGCATCAACCCGCTGCTGTACTCCTTGCGCTGTCGTGAGCTACGTGCAGCACTGAAATCATTACTGAATGTTTTAGGGAAATGCATGGGTTGTAGATTACCCAGACCAGGTTGTAGTAAGTAATATGATGTTAGTTTTGCATATATAGCATTTTTTGAATCTGTAAAAAAACAAAAGAAGGATCTGAGGGTGACGAGGAAGCAAACATATTCAAGATCAGCTTGTAAATCAGATTTTTTACTGTGTTATATTTTAAATAAATATTTTTTCCCTTGAATAAATATTAACTTTAATTAGCAAACATGTCGCTGTCTTCTGACTTAATACATAAATACACTTCATTGAACATGTACACATAGATATCAACTATATACTATACAACTGCAGGTTAACTGTATACACAGTTGAAACCAGAAGTTTACATACACTCTAAAAAACGGGAACGTAAACATTTTTTTTAAAAATGTCTGATGGTAAATTATACTAAACGTTTACTACTTTAGGTCCGTTAGGATCACCTAAATGACTTACATATGCTAAATGGCAAAATAATGAGAGAATGTTTTTAAGAGATTTTTTAAAATAAATTTTTTAGTCAGTCAAAAGTTTAAATACATTTCCTTGATATTTTTTTAGCTTTGCTTTTAAACTGTATAACTTTGGTCAAATATTTTGGGTATCCTTCCACAAGCTTCTTACAATAGTTTGAAAGAATTTTGGCCCATTCCTTCTGACAGAATTGGTGTAACAAGAAAGCTTTTTCAAATCTGCCCACAAATTCTCTATAGGATTGAGTCCAGGGCTTTGTGATGGCCACTCTAAAACATTCACTCTAATTTGGCATTATGGTTAGGGTCATGTTTTTTTTTTTTTTTTTGGAAGACCCATGTGTGCCCAAGTTTTAATTTACTGGCTGATGTTTTGAGATGTTGCTTCAGTATTTCTGCATAATGTTCTTTCTTCATGATTCCATCTATGCTGTGAAGTGCACCAATCCCTCCTGCAGCAAAACAGCACCACAACATGATCCTGCTGCCCCCATACTTCACAGTTGGGATGGTGTTCCCAGGGTTGTAAGATTTCCCCTTGGTCCTCCAAATGTAACACTGGTCATTATGGCGAAACAGTTCGATCTTAGTTCCATCAGACCACAGGACATGTCTGCAAAAATTATTCTTACAAATTGTAATCTGGCTTTTTTGTTGATTCTGGCTGGTTGATTTTCCCATATTGTCACAAAAGGAAGCAGTGTGTTTAAAATGTGCCTCCAATTAACTTAAATGTTGTCAATTAGCCAATCAGAAACATCCAAAACCTTGACACCATCATCTGATCTTTTTCAGAGGCATAATAATCTTTTTGTGTGTAAACTTTTGACTTTCAAGAAAAGTTAACAATTTTTTTAAAAATATATCTCTCATTATTCTGCTATTAAGCATAACAGAAACAAATTTGATAATCCTCACCTACCTTGAAGAGAAAAATATAGTCACATTAACATTAGACCTTTTTTAAACGGTTATGTGCCTTTTTATACAGTGTAAGTAAACTTCTGGTTTCAACTGTATATAATAACTTTAACTGTTAAAAGCTATAAGTTACTAGTTAATTAGTTAAAGTTATTAGAAACTAATATAGTTATGATAACTAATAATCTTAACTTTTCCAAATTTGATTTTAATGCAATAATGTTCACCTTTTGTGAAGCTGCTTAAAAACAATCCTTATTGTGAAAAGCGCTATACAGATAAACTTGAACTGAACTGAATTCTGAGAAGAAAACAAAAAAGTTGCATTGTCAGAAATAAACACATAATTACACAACATATAAAGTCGCTATTGTAAGACATAGAGAACAAATAAGGAGGTATTTATAAAAAAAAACAAAAAAAAAACAAATTTACAATCAAAAACTGACATTAATATCAACATTTATATGAGTAGTTTTGTGTACATTTTTTAAAATGTGATGGCAGTGTTTTAATTTTGTGTATTATACTCCAGTCTTCAGAAATCATTCTAACATTTATTGTTAAATTTAGTCACATATAATCAGAAAAACATTTATTTAATATATAATTTCTATGAAATTATAAATATACTGTTTTACCTAAAAATGTTGACTTTTAAATATTAGAATAAAACACCATTTACCAGCTGTAAGAAAAATCAATTTCCATGAGAAATTTACTTAAACATTCATTCATTCATTCATTCATTCATTCTCCTTTGGTTTAGTCCCATATTTATTAGGGGTTGCCACAGTGGAATGCCAACTATTTCAGCATATTTTTTACGTAGCAGATGCCCTTCCAGCCGTACCGGAAAACACCCAAAATACAATATAGCCAACTTTGTTTACCCAATTCACCTATAGCGTAGGGTTGGGTGATTTGGCCTATAACCAATACTCAATCATAATTAATGGATGATTATTTTATTAGTTTATTTTTTGTTTTTTGGCCTCATGGTTCACTGATAAGTTTTGTACAGTATATAACTGTATATCACATACTACAAGTGAGAGATTTTTGAATGAAGGGTGCATTACTTTACTTTAAAATAATTGAAGGAAACACACACTATCTACTATCTATGATAATCTATTCATCAACATTGAACAGCTGAAATTAAATCACACATTGCCTAAAACCAAGTCATTTTTTCTTATAAAAAAGTGAAAATAAACAACTTGCACTTTTGGAAACAAAATAAATTATTTTCAATGTTTTCAAAAATAGAAATTCTAATTTTGAATGTAAATAATTTTATCGAAATAGAAAATATGCCGTCTCAAGGTATATCTGGCTCAGCTTCCAATCATCGTCAATGTAATGCAAACGTGCAACCTGTAAAGTAGTACCTGTGTGTTCGATGCAAAAGTATAAATCAGCCTTAACAGAGTGGGGTCACATGACTCCACATGCGCTAGGGAAAGTAATTCAAAAATATGGACCTGGAAAAATTAGATCGATTATAGGCTCTGAATGTTGATTTTTTAAAGTACTTTTCGATTAATCGCCCAGCCCTACTATAGCGCATGTTTTTGGACTGTGGGGGAAACCGGAGCACCGAGAGGAAGAGGGAGAACATGCTAACTCCACACAGAAACGCCAACTGGCCCAGCTGGGACTCAAACCAGTAACCTTCTTTTTGCGAGGAGAAAGTGCTAACCACGGAGCCACTGTGCCACCTATTTACTTAAATATACACTAAATAATGATGTTTTGCATAATGATGCAAATAAATCCAGATGTTTTTTTTTCAATCTGACTTTCATCTTTCAACTCTTTCAAGTATATTTTCTAAAACTACTCTACAGCCACTAGGGATGGGAAGATTAACCGATATGTATCGATACGCGGTCATGCGCGTGCACGATGCGAGTGCATCGGTTGAGCAGCAGAGGATGAATGAAATTTTGGAAGCAAATCGAGATGCATCGGTTTTTGCGAGATGCATAGATTTTTCCGAGATACAGCTTATATTTTTAATATAGAATGTATTTTTTATTCATTAACAAGTGTTGTCAACCTGTTTTTGGCGCATAATTTAATCAATCTACATAAAGTAAGCCTTAGCAATGGATTTGCGGATGTGCACACACTACAACACAGTGTATCAGGTGTGCGGAAGAAGCTAGTGGAGCGCCCTCAGAAAGCGCGAGAAGCAAAACAAACATTTTATTCCCCACTGAGTTTTAAATCTAAAGTATGGCAAGCAACATTATGGATTTAAGGATGGACGACATGACAGGACAGATGCAATTTGCAAAATGTGCCGCGCATCTGTAAAATACGCGGGCAGTACGACTAATCTGAAATCTCACTTGAAGCGGCGCCACGGTGTTGTTGTGAAAGCATCTTCCAGTGTTTCTGCATCCCCGGCTTTCGCACTGCTTCAACCAGCTCCAAAAGTGGTGAGAAAAGCATTGCAAGTTTTTTTTTTCCGTGCGCAACAGTTCTGCTCGCTCTACGCCAATAACGAATGCTATTGCATTGTTCATCTGCAAAGATATTCAGCCTAGTGTCACGGAGAACGAAGGTTTTAAACACCTCCTCCTGTTAATTTTTATTTAATTATAATAATAATAATAATAATAATAATGATAAAAATAATTGGGTGTCACGGTGGCACAGTGGGTAGTTTGACCACCTCACAGCAAGAAGATTGCTGGTTTGTTATATTTTTATTAGCCTGTTGGTTACAGTGACAGTGATGTTTCAAAGCAGCATAACACTGCCAGTTCACAACCTTAAGTTTTGAATAATCAGTGGCAAAATATATCTTTGTAAAACTTGTTTTCATAGTTGAAAAGTTAAATCACAATTCTTGTTGTGCAATGCTAAATTTATTTATGTTGAAAGAGTGCAAATATATACATACTTTTTTAATATATATTGCACTTATACATTCTGTTTATCTTGAAAATACTTAAATAATATGTGCTATATGTTCAAAAATGGCCCTCTACTGTAAACTGACACTCTGGCTCTGAGAGAAGAGCCAGTTTGTAAAAAAAAAGTCTTGGTTGTGCTTGGTTTATAAATAATCAAACTCATTCAATGGCACAGCATCCTCTTTCACATCATCTCATAAACTTGATCTAATTAGTTAGTGCTGAAATATCGCATCGTATCGTGATATGGGTGTGAATCGTATCGTGTTGCATCGCAATGTGTCACAAATGTATCGCTAATATATCGGATCGTATTCTTTGTATCGAGATGCGTATCGGATCGGCATTATAGCTTAGATGCCCAACCCTAACAGTCACACATCTTTTTTTTTATCAATCTTGCCTTACGAACCTAACATTTTTCAAGAACATAACTCACCCATTCAAACATTCCCAAAATGTCACTGTCTGGCTACCAAAATAGCAGTGGTGTTATATGATAATGAAGTTTAGATTGAAATGGAGTATGTTTGGGAGAAATAAAATCATGTTTGTCTAATATTACACCGTCAAATGTCAGAGGTAGCGCTGCAGTGGCCAGGGGCTACACAATACTTTATTGAAATTCAAATGGAAGTTTTTATCAATAAATGCGAGGGCTCGGGAAACTACAATGGCCGCTTTTATTCCCGGCCTCTGTCAACAAGTGACATTTAGATCCCCTCTGATTTTCAGAAAGGGTCAAAGCGGTGCAGATCGAGAAGTCTATCAGGAAAACGTATCTCTCACAAAGCATTACTCTGTGTTGGTGTGTGTTTAAGATTATTACATAAAAAGTTGGAATATTGACTTTTAGAAAGTTAAATGCTGACAAACTATATCAAAATGAGGAGTTAAATAAAAAGTATTAGAATAAAAAGTCAAAACTATTACATTGAACCTCAAAATGATGGCAGTCAAACATAATTTCCTCTTAGTATGTCGTAATTTTGGCTTAGTAGGTCACAATGTTGACT